AACCCAATAAATAAGTTCATACAGGGAATTTAAAGAAAATTAACGAATATGTATCAGTATACAGTGTGACACACTTAAGATGAAGACACAAATGTATTTTAGTCATTTTTGAAAGCAGATATTTGATTTTTGGTACAGGCATAGACCTTTAGGGGCTGCACTTTTCGCAATACTTAGGCCTTACACCTAACCCAATGCGATCCCGTGAAAACGGCAAATTCTCGAAATTTTCTCGCGTTGAAGATACCGAAAAAATGTATTTGAAAAAGTTTCTTGGAAATCGATTATGACCCCACATAAGGAATTTGAACCCAAAATTGAAGCTACGAAAATAATAAATTCGTTATAATGTAGGAATAAGAATGGAAAACCTAATATTCCTAATAATATTTGATTTTTTTTATAATTTTCATATTCAAATCCGATTTTCAGTTAATGGTTCCGAATAAGAAGGTACAAAAATGATGAAATAGTAAAAATGAATGAAATGTATGTATTGAAATAACTAAAATTTAATATTATTATTTTATCAAAAGTAAGTTAATCGACTAATCCTTCACTAGTCTGTCTCCAATTTTGCCCTTTTCGTGGAAACGCAGAAAGCTAGCTTCAAGGCTGTCACTTGAACTGAGTATTGGGAAAAGTGCGGCTCATGAAGGTCTCTGCTTGTACCAAAAATCAAATATCTGCTTTCAAAAATGACCTAAATACAGGGGTGTCTTCATCTTAATATAATATAAGAAAACGAGTTTCGTGTATCTTTCGGCTTATAGATCAAAATGAATGTTTAGTATATAAATAGAAAAATAAAAGTAATTTGTAACCCAGTATGTAATATTTGAAACAAACATTTGTGGATATGTAAACATTTCCTTAAATATTTTTATTGACTCTGAATTTCTGAAAACGTGATTTATTTTCTAATACAGTTTTGTTTTCCATTAGAATATTAATCCTTATATATAGCTTCGCCCTACTTGTTAACAGAGCAGAAACAAGAAGTACCATCAATAATATAAAAAATCACAAGTCTGCTTGGATAAGTAATAATGGCAGATAAAACAGTGTTAGCAGACATGTTTATGAAATTAAAAACAAATTAGGAATGTTTTTTGTCTCCCGTTCAAAACATAAATGATTCAGCTGAAGTTTTTCTATCGAATTAGGTGCAGTAGTTATTATTTGCCATGTGTTGTTTGTCATCCAAGTTCATTTCAAATTACCGAACAAAATATTTGGTAGTCATATCAATCTTCAGTTATTCGTGATTGTATGTTGTATGCATAGGCTGCTCGTTTACCATTCTGAAAGAGAAACGCGTCACATTTGGCAGAAATAATTGCTTAGTGAGAATTATTTTTTGTTCGATAAGGTAACACGTTTTTCTGCCTTCGTTGGAAATTCTTGAAATTACTTTTAATTTCAAGAAACCGTTTCAATAAAAATATTCGATTTTACATCACGGGTTATTTTCTTTGAAACACCAATAATTGAAGCGAAGATTATCAAAGAAATAAATTCCTCAGAAAAAATTCATATTTGTAACTTTTCCATGATAGGATTTGAGTTGGCAGAAATAGTGTTAAAATAATTGATAAAATGGCGAACATACTCAAATACATTATATAAAGTAAGGTGAATCAATCAGAATACTAGGAATTCACATGTTGAAAAGTGTTTTTGTATCACTTTTTCATTCGTTTTGACAAGCCCCAGTCGATTGGGAACTTCCTTCCTCTCATGATATCTGGTGACGTTATATAATGTTATGTAATGTACATGTTTTTCCATGAAGTTTTTTTTTTCAAAATATGCTAAATTCGTGTTTGATCAGTTTTTCTGGATAATACGGTTAAAATAAGAAGTCAAACGTCCATAAGATTTCATTAATATCCATATCTTCAACCTATTCATGGACAAAATAACCTTTGATAGTAGTGTAAGTTGGGAAACAGCTCAAAGAGATACCTTGGAAAAGTGATGGAATAATAACCGATAAAAAGTCAAACAAATTAGAATATAAGAATATGTGATATATAATTACATATATTGTATATTTTATATTGAAAAATATGAATATGTTATGATATGTTATGGTTTGTAAACAAAAATTGAACCCCAATTCCAAACGGCACTAAAAACTAATTGAGTTTGAAATTTTTTACTTGAAACCAATGTTGGGAATACAACTTCTCATTTTGGTAGAGATAATATAATCCAATAATTTCACACAATGGAATGAGGAAGAAACAAAAAACTCTGGTTTTAAAATGCGGAGATACATCATCTACGCCCATTCAGGTTCCATCAGGGGTAGGTACCACAGGGATCCCATATGGGCCCACTGCTGTTCAACTTGTTTGTATCGGACATAGAGTTTGTTTTCAAATATTCAGAATGTCTTATGTTTTTGGACGATCTCAAATTTTATCGAGCAATTACTTGCCGGGAAGATGCTGAATTAGTTCAAAAAGATCTCGAAGCTTTTTCCATGTGGTGTAGAAAACTTTTGTTAGAAGTAAACATCGATAAGTGTCAAATCATTACGTTCGCTAAAGTTAGAATATTCTTTGAATATAAATTGAATGCTATAGCTCATAAATGAGAAACATTTATTCGCGATCTGGGAGTTAAATTTGATAGCGAAATTAATTTTAATCTTCAAGAATCAGAAGTTGTAGCAAAAAGTCTCAAAATGCTAGGTTTTGTGTTGAGTATTTCTACTGACTTTTCAAATTAAAACAAAAAATATTTTATATTGTGCTTTCGTAAGATCTGTTCTTGAATATTATTCGGTTATATGGGACCCATACTATAATGTAAATATCAAAATGATTGAGAATGTTCAAAAGAAATTCTTAAGGGGTTGTGCTTTTCACTTTGGTATTCAACGAAATGAATATGAGTACAGTCAACTCTTAACCAAGTTGAATATAAAATCATTGGAAGATAGGAGAATTTCTATGAACTTGAGTTTCCTCTGCAAATTAATAAATAGTGAGATAAACTGCCAGAACTACTTCAACTAATAACTTTTCATATCAAACAAAAAAATACGAGAAATCCTTACTCGTATTCTGAAGCTAAGAAATCAATATCATAATAACTTAGATATGTTTGATATGTCACTTCAGGTCTTTGAATTGTAAGTACCAGATTTATTTCAACTTTTATTAGTAATGTAGTCACTAGACATAAGTATTTATTAATATTTTATATTTCACACTTCGCTACATGTAATATAGACATAAGACATGAGCATTCAAAAATACTTCGTAGTTCTTCACACTTTGTTAAATATGTTTTTGTAAATTGGCGTTGCCGTTAAATAAATAAATAAATCACTGAGGATACACTACATAACACACTTTTATCTATTTTCCACTATATTTCTTTATTGTTGACCGGTTTCGGCTATTATACCATTTTCAAAATGGTTTTGAAAATGGTATAATAGCCGAAACCGGTCAACAATAAAGAAATATAGTGGAAAATAGACAAAAGTGTGTTTTGTAGTGTATCCTCAGTGAACATGAATTTCCACAAAATAAACAAGTCGTCAATCGAAGAAATAAATAAATATTGAAAAATAATCCAAATGAATGAAAATCTCTGACATGATGACTTGAAATGACTCATATTCTTGGGATTAAATCAGCATAACTTAAATTCATGAAGTTAATTATAAAAAACATTTGAAAATAAGATGGATTAATGAAAATTCAAAATTGATATTCATTGCAGATTCCTATACAAATCCTGAATTTTTGATATATCTGTTGAATTGGGATCTGTGGGGAAGGAAATTACCCCCTCTTTGAAAGTGGTTTGAAATAGATATAGAGACAAACTACATCGAAACCCAGTGTCAGTAATTTCACATTAGTTTTATCAAAACATGATTGGTTATATCAAAATCAATAATTGACTTTTCTAAATTCGGTTCAAACAAGTAGGAATACATTCAATGTCAGTTTAACTTTGTATTATCAAGTTCACCTATATATTTCAAAAACCAAAAATATGCGAATTTTCAATGAAAAATAGTTTCTTCCACCCAAGTTTCATTTCTTGAAACCTAAAAACGTGGAAAAATATAGATTTGAGGTTTTTATCATCCTGTGCAATTTTCAGGAGTTTTCTTCAAGGATTCGAGATGTAGTTTAAGAAATGACATCCAAAGTAGAAAGTATTTTTTCATTTGAAATGCATATACTTGTATTTTTCTGAAGTATGTTTTAGGTAAAAATCCTAATGAACCATGTTACTTCGAGTGATATTGACAAATTGAATAAATTTTTATCTGAATTTTATTCAAATGCAGTAACATTTCTGGGTAAATTTGGTAATTTAACATCGTATTAGATATTGAACGATAATCATTTTTTAACGATATTCTTTGGGTATTTTCCACTCCACAATCTTGATATTTTTAGATTTTGGAAGATGAAAATACCCAAAGAAGATCGATAAAATGTTTCAAATATGTTTCACCCCAAACTGAAAATTGTTGTCGTTGAAAAGTATATCTTGACACTCTTATTACGTTAATTTTTGAACCTAACTGGCATATTATTAGCTAACTTGGTAATATTCTTTTCGTTCATACTTTTTTCTCTGTAACTCAAACAGTCCTTCACTAATGATAGGCCACGTTTTATCAATATATTTCTTCATAATATAGATTCTTAACGCATTTCTACCAATTATGAAAGAGCTTTTATTGAAAAACCTTTGGGAAGAAACCAACACACACACACACACATATAAGAAAGATGAACACAACCTAACATAAAACCTATTTTTTTATTGCTGTGATCTAAATAGTTCTTCACGTAATAATAGATCACGTTCTATTATTATATTTCTTCCTGTATAGATTTTAGCGCATTCCAGCCAATAATGAAAGAGCTATTATTGAACGACCTTTAGGAAGAAACCAACACACACACATAAGAAAGAACTCGACTCGACATAAAACCTAAATTCTTTATTTGCAGGAGCTCGAGTTAGTATGTCAGTGCCTTCGATGGTACATCGATCTGGAAACTCTCTGATAGTGCGCAGCTTGGTGAGTGGCGACGCTTTGTACGACTCGGCGGGGAACGCCGAAGACGCTAACGACGACGACGACTGTTGCGACCAACTCAAAGACTTGCCGGACTGCAAAGTTAAAAGGAACTACACGTGCTCGACGTGCGACTTTCTTACGCAAAATCCGCGAGTGTATCTTTACCACCTCCGCGATGTTCACCAGGAAAAGGTGAAGATATACGAGTGCCCGAGTTGTCTGTACGCGTCCAAGCATTTCCAAAAGCTGCTGCGCCACACCAAGATGGTCCACGGGGAAGGCGTCGTCGCGAAGAGGAAGACACCACCGCCCTTGGATGAGGAGGAGCCCGAGGAAGACCTGGAGGAAGTGGATGGGCGGCCGACCCTGTTCAAGTGTTCGGTGTGCGACTTCACGAGCAGGAACCAGTCGCTGATGTCGAGACACGAACGCGAAGAACACATCAAAACGAAGTTTTTCCGGTGCTCCAAGTGCACTTACGTAACGCACATCAAGGCGAGGTACACGAAACACGTCAAGTACCATTCGATGCCGATGATCAAGTGCGACATGTGCGATTTTCGAACGCCGTACAAGTGGAACCTCGACAGGCACTGCAAGAACCACAACGGGAACGGCGCTTTCAAGTGTTCGGCGTGCAATTTCACCGCGGACATCAAGCAAAGTTTGACGGTGCACGAGATGAACCACCATGTGCCTCCCGTGGGTCAGGCCGCGGGATTGGGCGTCGGACGTCGACGCAACAAAGTCGGAGCCAGCGACGCCACCGCCGCCGAGGAAGCGGCACAGAAGGCGCAGGTATGTAACTTTCAAAAATATCATTTATTTTTTCGTCCTTTGATAAATAATCTGGAATAAGGGGTAGCAGTTTGAGGACAACAAAATAGATTTGTTGAATTTACGATGTTTCGATGTTTTTTACCCCTTTTACGTTTAAATATTCCACCCTCCGGCCATTGAAAATTTGAAAAATTAAATAACCCTTGGAAAAGTATCACTTGAAGTTTCTGAAAGTTAACAATTAAACAAATTTCAACGCTCATTTTGATTTCCTCTTACCGCTACTTCTTCCACTTACATTCAACCACAATATTTTTCCCTTTCGATATCCCCAGAAAGAAAAAGTATGTCCATAGCCTATTTCACCAGAGCAGGTATCCGTGACACAAAAACACAATGCATACGGTATCTTACTCGTCCAAAATAGCGAGTCTGGAAGTTATTTCTTTTTTTTTATTCCGACAGAAGCCATTTTTTTCCTCTTCTTTCCTTTTTTGTCTCGTGTATTGAAATATTTTTTTAATTCGAGTAAACGCACCATCGTATGTCTATCAATAATCTTATAGAAGTTCGATAGACAGTTTATTTTCTGTCTTTCTATGGGAAAATTATATTCATTGGAAAATTATTTTAAAAATTTGGTTTATTTATCTGGCTGCGTTCTATATCTATTTCAATGCAATTCTGAATGTTTAGATTACAAACTGAATAGGAGTAGGTGATTTCCGTGTAATTCAATGTTCATAAATTTAATTCTATTAGTTATTTTGGATGGATTTTTTATTCTAGTTTGTTTCATTCTAAGTATACATTTATCGATAAGTAGAAAACCAAAAGGTTTTTTTCTCGAAAACTAATCTCTTCAATAGTTTTATGAACTGGCATTGTGAAGAAAGCAGATGTATCTCTTGCAATGAATGTTTGCAGGGATTGTGAGAATGGTTTTCCATACATTTGAAAGAAACTTTTGTGCATTATCCACACAACTTTGTAAATAGTTTATTTTGAGGTTAATTTTTTCATCTTGTATTGATTTTTTTTTCTTTCTTCCTTCGGAATCTTCTTACTTTCTATATAATGATGGAGAAGGAAAATGTTAAAGGTTTTCGTTCAAAAAAATATTTATTTTATTTCTATAATTTTTAACAGAATTCTTCTACCAAAATTATTGTTGATTGTCAGATTGCTCAAAAAAAAATAAGAATTGGCCTAATTTTCAAATGAATAAAATTTTCGGAACAATTTTATACAATACATGCAAATATTTTTACATCGGAAGTATGAGAAATGTAGTTTTATTTAAAAATTTGTTATCTTCTGTTTTAAAAATGAAAATAAATTGTTTACACATATTTCATACACAGATAAATTAATCTGTAATACCAAATGCCAGTGATGTTCTACTTTGGAAAGTGTAAACTTGACTGAGATAATATCTCAAAAAAATTGAATGTTTGTCGTTGCTTTTTCTATCATCCTAGACCTTCTCGATAAAATGAACTAAAAAACTTTGAGACTGAAAACAAGCTTTGAGATACTACAAATTGTGTTATGTACCTATATGAATTTTACCGTATTACTAACTTTTTAAAACTTAATTTTGATTTACTTGTGATGCACTCTTTGGAACCATTGGTGTAGTAATGAATATTACTGGAGTTTTTTCCCAACACCAAACCGTTATTTTAAAACCTCGACACGTGTTTCGATCACCAAGTGATCATTTCCACGGTTTCGTGTTGGGAAAAAACTCCAGTAATATTTAATTTTGATTTGTTGTATATGGGATTTTGACAGAATTGTGGTATAGGGTTTTGGAATATTTGCGGATAATCATTAGGAAAAACTAGAAGAAATTTTATAGATTAAGGCGTTGTGATGCACTGTTTGGAACCTTTGGTGTAGTAATGAATATTACTGGAGAGGAAGATGATCACTTGGTGATCGAAACAAGTGTCGAGGTATTGAAATAACGATTTGGTGTTGGGGAAAAAACTCCAGTAATATTTTTTAGATTAAGGCGATTTGAGATCGAACATATAATGGTATTTCATAATTTGAGATTGATACAAGGTGTTCAAATAATTTTTGAACAAATGAAGAAATAGTTAGAAAGAGTTTGTAGGTTCAGATGTTTGAGAATCTAGAAAGTTATGCAAAATATAAAATAAAATAAATAAAAATATAATCTAACTGTACAGCATGTTATCCATTACTGTATACCGACGAACTTGTGCTAGAGCTAGAGGATGCAGAAAATTTAGCTGACAGAAAATAATGATCGCTGTATTGAATGATTTAGAGATTGGCATAGGGCCTTGAAAAATTTTTGAATAAATATGACAAATCAATACACTTTGCTTCATCAAATAGAATATTCGACAGAATAAGAAATGTGTTTTCGATATTCGGCTGGATCCGGTCTTCCATTACAGTTAATAATACATGTGACATCTGAAATTTGGGTATGCATTAATTCTTGCTAGTTAATACATGTATATCCTTCTTTAGATTTTTTGTTATTAATGGTGACTGTATTGCTGTGGTATCCAATTTTCTAAAAAAGAATTATTTGAAATGGCGTCTACTTGCTAAAACAAAAATTTTGTTGCCTCAGAAAATATGATGAAATTTTGAATGCACTACTGCACACTATTGGAGAAGAATTATCCACGATTTTCAACCATTCGATGGACTACCAAAACCAAAAAGGTAGAAATCTGATTCGTTATTTTTATTGCACATACATGAAACCTGAGAAACCGATGCGACACGCCTGATGAAGATCGATTTCAATTGCGTAGTGAATCATTTTAAAGGTTAAGGTCGCATTTTTGTTTTGTGTCGTCTTTAGCTAGATAGGTAGCTACTTACTTAGTTCAAAATTAAATTGATAAGTAATAACATAATTTGTTTGTATGAATTTTATCAAATATCATTATTTTTAGTTACTAGCGGCTACCCTCAGGGAGTTGAATTATTCGAAAGATCGGGAGAGAGATTATGGGAGAGATCGGATCTTGTTTTATATACTTCTACCAATGGACAGTCCCACCTAAACAAAAAGGGTTTCGAATGGTCCACAATATTCCAGAATGTTTCGCAACATTCGAGAATACTTTCGAATGTTCTGAACTGTTCTAGAAATTTCTAGAAGACGATAGTGATAGCCGTAAAAACGGATAGTAGATAGAAAGTTACTACACCATATAACTTCCTTGATTGTGCCAGATTGGTCTGGGATGTTCAAAAATGTTTCCCGATGTTTCAGACTATTTCGAACATTCCGCAACTTTCCAGAATGTTCGGGGATGCTCTAGTAATGCTAAAAACGCTTTTGGATATTCCCTAACTTTTTGGATTGTTCTAGTACTTTTTAAAAGACGAAACTTCCAGCATTTATATCTTCAAAAGCACGCTCATCAGGTAAACTCAAAAACCTTTTTCATGGGCAAGCTCATGGTTACACTATAACAGAAAAAATGTAGGCATATATGTTTAGCCCTCGTGCGGAGCCGGGTCGGCCGCTAGTCTTTTATAAAACTGAAGCACATTTTCATAAAAAAATGTAACGATAGTATAAAGTATGTCTTTCTCGATTTTGAACATTAGAGAAATTTTCATGTGTTGAATATGTGTTATTTGAAATATTTCGTTTCATTGCGAACTATTGTTCTTATTGTAGATCATAATTGGTCGAAGCTGATACAATCAGATTTGAATATTTTTCATGCTAATTGGAATCACGTTAACTAGTAAACATTTATTCAAACGATTCGTAGAAAACAACTAATATACCTGTCTAAGAAGTATTTTTCAAAGGAACGTGGAATGTTTTTGTTAGTAATCTTTGTGGTGATGGTTTAAAATTGCAGAATGATAAATAATGTTCAAGTAGGTCATTGTAAGGTGGGTTTGAGGGTAATGAGGCAATGGGCGGTATCGATCACAAACTGCAATATGCTCGACATGAAACTAGGAAGATAAGATAAGGCACATTCCTGAGAGTTTGTTAGTAATTGTGTAACTAGTTTTCAAGGTACTGAAAATGGTAACTAAATATTGAAGTGGGTAATGAACAAAATAATAGGGGAGCCCAAGCGGGGATTTCGGGATTTACTAAAGCGCGGCAGATTAATATAAAGGGGGATATCTTGTACCCGGTTAAGTACCTCCACCAAATATGAGCCCCATATATACTGCCGCCTGTGAGGGATAAAGGATCAGATTAGTAAAAAAAAATTGCTCATCAGAAATTCTCGAGTGCGTCAGATTAAGGTAGGGTGAGTTAATTACCTGTTAAAAAGTTTATATTCCAGTAATCTGACAATTTGAGAGTGACTTAAAGAATGGGGAGGGCAGCAAAGTTGTAAAAAAATAACGTCATTTCAACATTTTCGAGCGTAGCTGATGTTTTTTTTTATTAAAAATACGTAGGACATTGATGCTATCAATATCTGACGCGCTCGAGTATGTCCATGCAACAGTATTTTTCTACATGTTTAAAAATGTATAGCCGCTTCCCCCACCGATGAAAAGGTATATAGTATATAACATTTTTTTTTCTTATTATCTAAGCTTTGCAACCTCATATGTCTAAATGACGCTCGAGTAAATCCCCATTTTGCATCGTGGGCTCCCCTGCTATACGAGCATCATTTCAATGAAAAATTACAGTAACATTAGTTAGTAGTTTAGTGTAGTTCGAAACTTACCTAACAATAATTTCATAAATCATTGATTTAGGATAGTCCGGTAAAAATAAACGAATTTTTTAAATTGCATATTCATGTATCCATTATTACTATAAAATGAGTTAACATTATGCAAATTCCGATTACTAATGAATCGTTAAAAGAAAACTTATTTCATTGTTAAGCCGTAGTTCGCAGGTTTGTATATCAGACGTTTTGTGTACTATTGCGGTAAACATTATCAAAGGCAATGAAGCCCCGAATGGAGTGCTCGGGTTGTCCCCACATACAATGCATTTGTTTAATGTCCCCCCTTTTTTATTT